TTTGGAATTACAGGTGGAGGAAAGTCGCCCACTGAGAGTGCAGTTTGTCAGCTGGTCATTTGAGAAGTCTTGGGGAGCAACAAACAGCATTTATTCCAGTTACTGAGGGGAGCTTAGCCCTTGTGGGAAGCAAAAAGCCCTCAATTACTGTATAGTCATTGGATAAAAGCAGACAACCTGTCTGAGCTTAGGGTGGGGCCCATTTAACTCAGGCAGGGGCCCTGCATTTTTCTGTGATTCCCGCCAGCTGCTAGGTCAGGCTGTCGGGCTGTCGTAAGGCTTACTGAAGCTGCCTTGTGGTTGGTGGGGAAGCTGTACAATAGGGACATTTCAGGCAAATCCACAACAGCCTGCCATCTTCTGGGAACATTTGGCACCTACCTCCAACCAGCACCCAGCAACTGGTTCCCCTTGACCACAGATTTATTTGTATGGAAAAACACACTGGGTATTTGCTATGGATATGCAATACATAGTGCCTAATTAGCACCTCAGGGTAGGATGTTTGTGAACAGAAATCAATAAGGGCCTTGTACAATATCCCCAACAGTCCTCTCTCTGCTCACTGTGAGGCTAAGCGTTCAGGCAGGAATGAAGTGCACCCTGGATGCAGACTCCAAAAGGAACTGGATGCCCAAAGATGGAGTGCTGCTTGAGACTTGGGATCACAGAGATCAGAGCTGGGAGAGACCTCACAGAGCACCTTGTCCAGCCCTCTCCTTTTACATAGGAGGAGACTGAGGCTCAGAGAGGAGAAGGGCCTTGCACAAGGTCACACGGGTAATAAGTACCGAGGCTGGGACCTGAGCTAAGATCCAGTGTCACCAACCTCAGCACATTTTGTCTGCATCGTGTTACCAACACACTGGAGGAACAGAGCAATGAGAAATGGTCTCTTCCAAGGGGGTTGGGGACAGATGGGCTGAGAAGACCTGGCACTTTGAGAAATGGAAGGGGTTGCTGACCAAGGTGATGCTAGCTGGCCCAGCTAAGCCCATCTGCCCCCACCCCTCAGCCAAGCTGGCAGCAGCCACTTAGCGGGCTCATTACAATCATCATCTACTCAGGGAGCATTTCCTGGCTTGGGTCCCCTCTGCTCAGCGCGTTCTCAAGCAGAGTCTGCTGCCATCTGGTGGTTTCCCACCAAAAGATGGGCGCGGAGCTCATACGGCCTGCATGGGCCAATGAAACCAATGTTTTCCTTTTGACCATTTGGGCATCTCCTCCCTGGTGCTCTAGGGTGCTCAAGATACCGGTGGGATGCTCTCACAGTATCTCGGCGGTCATGCAGGGGGATTCTGGTTTCTTTTTTGTTTCTTACCTTTCTCTGTTTCCCCAGCCCTTACCACAGTGCCTGGTACATGGTGTTGACCTGACTTGCCAATGTAAGTAAAGCTCTGAAAATGTACAAGTGCAAGATGAAATGTGGACTGTGATCATCTGGATGCCTGCTCTGTGCCAAAAGTTTAAGGCAATCATACTATATGCCCAGATGAATCACTTACTATTCTTAATATGAGGGAATGGGGCTATTCTCCCAAGTGAATACAACTTAATGGTAAATCCATTAGCATTTGAAAGTTGACGGCCATATTTTTTTCCTTTACCCAAAAGAGAAGCTTGAGAATTTAAATGCTATCTTTTCATTTGGGGGTATGCAAAAGAGGCAGTGTGGTGGCCCACCAGGCTCAGCTTTTCCCTAATTTTATCTGTGTAACCTTGGGAGAGTCACTTAAACTCTCTTCAGCCTGTTTTTTCCCCTATACAAAGAGATCTCTAAGGTCCCTTCCGGTTCTGACCAGTTTATGAAAATGCTGCATAAAAATGAAAGACGGATTTGCCCAGAGCTTTCTGCCTACAACTTTGGAGCTGCCGTTCGAATTGATGATTCCTTTTGGAGAATGAGGGAAAACTCTTTCCCAGAAAGCTTGCTAGTCTATTTGCTCATGTTAAAATAATAGTTCTGGCGATCTGCCCATGGGAAACATGTTATATGTGCTATCACTGCAAAAAGTCAGTGAAGAAAATTTTCAAGAGACCTTGTAGCTCTGGTCTTTCCAATTTTTCCAATGCAACTTCCACCCCATTCATTTCAGAGCCATGGCTCTGTTCTGCATCGGCTTACCGAGCATTGTCTGAAAGTATATTTTAGTCATTTCTTTTCATCAGAAATAGCATTATTTTTAGTTTGAGTGGTTAAACTTTTACACAACAGAGGGTTAACATTATAAATGATCTCTTCTCTTGGCAAGTCATAGAATCGAGTAATGAGGTGGATCACATAGTCTTTTCTTATTGACTGTAACTAATAGAATTCCATGTGTAATTGGGGGGACTACCTTACATTCACAATTTGCTTTTACTTTGATAAAAAGCATTTCCTGGTTTGTGTGGCTTTCTCTCTGCAGCTTGTAAAATAATTTCAGGAAAGTTCAGTGTTGAAGATGATATTTTTCTGGTTTTATGGCAAAATATTGATTCGGACTCACATCTCACACAATACATATGGAAGAAAATCAAAGTGTCTTGGTTGTCATAAAAAAACTAGAATGTCCTTTGAGCACAGTGACCATCTTTCTTTTGAATCTTTGTATCTCTACAATGTAGCACGGTGCTTTGCATATAGTAGGCGTTGAAGAAATGCTTGTTGGATTGAATTGGAGAGGAGGGACTTTGTTTTAACCAATCAAAGAGAAGAAACCATTGTAGAAAACCTGTATGGATCGGATTATATATGATAAAGGGCTTGCACAATGAAAAGCTGTCTCATTGAAATGAAAAGAAACAGATTGGGGGAAAATATTTGAAGTGAACATAGCAGGTAAAAGTCTGACTTTTATGATTTCTAAGGAACTGACACATATCTCTAAGAGTAGAGAAGAATACACACTCCTCAGTGGAGAATGAGAAGGAGCAATCTGCTAGGTAGGAGGAAAACCAGGAGAACAGTGGCATGAAAACCCAGAGAAGAGAGCACGCAGGGTATGAGTGTGACTGACATCGTCGAAAGCTGCAGACAGGTCCAGAAGGATGAGTAATGAGAAAATGCCATTAAGAGATGATTGGTGACTTGGGAAAGAGCAGTTTCAGTTGACTGATAAGGTCAGGTCAGAAGCCAGTCTATAGAGCAGAGAGTAAGAGGAAAGGAAGTCAAGCTACCGATTGCATGTGGTTTTCTCAAGGAGTTTAGCCATGAAAGGGATGACAAATATTCAATGGTGTGGGGATGGACAGATCAAGTGAGAATTTTTTAAGGACGGGGGAGACATGGGCATGTTCATAGGCAGTAGGGAAGCACACAGTAGACAACAGAAGGGGAATCTGCTGAAGATGGAATGGAATAGGATTGCTTGTACACACCTGCCTTGGCAAGAAGGAGCTCTTCACGGGGGACAGGAGTGAAGGAGGCGAGTGAAGGAGGTGTCAATAAGGGAAGGCATTTGAGTGATGTGAAATGAGGAGGGGAGAAGAGGGAGCTCTTGGCAAATGACTTAGAGTTTTTCAGTGAAATATGAGGCAAGATTCTTAGCTGAGAAGGCGAAGGGAAGGGAGAGCTACGGGACTTGAGGAGGGATGAAATCATTTGGAATATTCATAGTGGTGAGTGGGATAGTGAATTTATTAGGGAAGTGCAAAAGGATGGCTTTGTTGGAGTGAGAGCCCCAGTTGAGATTATGTAACATAATTTGGTAGTAAACCTATTCCGTGTGGTTTTGTGATTTATTCCAGCTTTATTCAGTAGCACATGAACAGGAGTGAGAGTAGAGGATGGTGGGAATGATCTAAGGTCAGGGCTTAGCAGGGCAAGATTAGCAATAGGATAAGGGGGGAAGGGACAAAGGAGTATGGTATGGAGTGGAACAGGTTCACCAAAGGGTCTAGAGAAGGGAAAAGTGTAGACAGTATAATGGTAATGCCCTGGGAGAAAACTGAGGGGTGGAGGAGGGATTGACGATCATGATGAGAATAAAGAACAGGATTAGGGGCTGTGAGGCAGAGAGAAAGACAGAGGGAATGACAGAAAGATTAAGATCAGGTAAAGGAATTGGAGAGTTCAGGAACATGGAAGTAGAATACTTGTTTGTAGGTGATGGCAAAATTAAGGGTTTGACCATTTCAATATGTAGCTGAACTGAGGTGGGGGAATAGCTTATAGGACATGAACAAGTTAAGGAACTGGGACATTAGAGGGAGGCTCAATATGTCTGTTAAATTCTCTACTATGAGATCAGGAGTTGGGGAGGAAAGACTGTAAACCAGGCATTGAACTCATCAAGGAAGGAATGATATTCCTGCTGAATAATGCTAAATTGCAGCTGGTAGACAACAGCCACCAGAATCTTAATTGGGTGGTAAATATGGATTGAATAAGCCTCAGAAGAGGAAAGGTTACTGAGTGATAGTAGTAGAAAGCCTAGGGAATAAAGATTATTCTTATCCTCCTACCATGGCTGATGAGTTTGGGGGAGTTGGGGGGGATATCAATGAATGAAAGAGAAATCAGTGTTAGAAAGGGTGGCCAAGGAGGCCCTGTCATTTGAAGGGAGCCAGGGTTCAGTGGATACAAGATGCGAGAGGTGAAAAAAGAAAAGGTTTATTACTGATGGAGGAAGCAAACATTTCAGAGAGCAGAGTAGAGGGGTGAGTGGATCTGGAGTGGGATTTGGTGACAAGGGATGTGTGTGTGTGGGGATTGAAGGGGATGGGAGTAAAGAAGCAGGCAACTGGGTGGGGTGGGGAACCTAGTTTGTGTACAGTGACAGCTGGGGGGTTCAAAATAAATGAGGAGAGTAAAATGGGGTTAGGGTTAGGTATGCTAGTCACTGAGGAATAAACTCAAGCAGATTATCATGGGGGGGGTAGTCCATGAGGGTTAACCAGGAGGGCAGACAGAATACTGCAGTCCAGGCAGGGCTCTCACCAAAAAAGGACCAATCTGTACAAAAATATTTATAGCTGCTTTATTTGTAACAGCTCCAACCTAGAGACTACAATTGGTGAACGGCTGGATAAATTCTGGTTAGATTAATGTAATATAACATAATATTATGCCTGCATTTACAAAAACAGGTTCATCTAGAAGGTAGCAGGCTGGATCTGACCATCAGAGACCGGCCTGTTTGCGTTTGAATCCTGGCTGCGTGACCTTAGGTAAATCTGCTCATCTCCCTGGGCCTCAGTTTCCCCATTTGTTAAAGGAAGGGGCTGTCGTAGATGACCCTAGAGGTCCCTGCCAACATTAAATCTAGGGCCCTGGGGAAATAAAGGAGGAAAGAGACAAGTGCTATTAGGGGAGAGGAGGAACAAAATCAGTTGAGCCCCAGCCGGCTCCATACGGGTTATTTGTACTTTACACAAAATGTCCCCTAATTTCCAGACGATACAACTGCTCGATTGGCTTGCGCGAGGAGGGGTCGCAGAGCGAGCCGCGGCGCGCCCCCGCCCCCGAGCTACTTCCGGCAACGCCGCCGACGCCGCCAGGAAAGCTTTGTTGTTAGCAACTCATTGGCTTACTGGGCTCTTGGGACGCCTGCGCAGTGAGTAGGGTGGGGCCAGAGCCGCCGGTGGATGACGTCACGTCCGATCATTCTGAGGCCGTCGAGAGCTTGTGGCTATGAAGTCCGTTTTCGTCACCGTGGGCACCACTAGTTTCGACGAGCTCATAACCTGTGTGTCTTCAAGAGCTACCCTCCAGGTGAGCGACGGCGCTTCATTAGTCCCTCTGTGAGTCGAAATTTTTCCCGCCCCTCCCCTCCTTTGGCTGGCGGCTCAGACTGCGCCTGCGCTGCGCTCGCGCACATCCTGCTGCAAGGCGCCTCCGCAGACCCGCTGACTGCAGCCTTGCCACCCGTCCCTGCGCCTGCGCATATCGTTCTGCATGGACCACCCCGCCCCCCTTCCAGCCCCCTCGCTCACTCTCTCGCCAGCCCTCAAGGCGAGGGACCTCCCCTGCCCCCCCCACAACACATGCACATCTCCAGTTTCCCTCCACTGATGCCCCCGCTCGAGACTGGCACGGGTCCCTTTCGGGCCTGCTGTTGCGACAAATGGGTCCTTAGACACCATCGAGGCCAGAATCCTCAGTTGACCGAGAGAGAGGCACTTGACGTCACAAAGGGACCTTAGAGACCAACTTCCCATTTTACAGAGGGGAAACTGAGGCTCAGGAATGGAGAATGACTTACAGCCCCAGCTGGTCAGGGCAAAATGCCACCTTAGAGATTGTCTAATTCAACCCCCCTTATGTGACAGATAAGGAGAAAATGAGGCCCAGAGAGATGGACCATAAGATCATAGGGTTAAGTTAGGAAACTGAGGCTGAGAGATGAATAGCTTGCCCCAGATTACACAGGTAGTAAGTGTCCAAAGTTGGCTGACTCCAGAGCTGATGTCCAGGACATCGCCCAGGCATCGGGCCCTTGACATCATTTCATCCAAACTTATTTTTCAGAAATGTCATCTGAGGCACACAGAAAGGTACTGAGCATCAAAAACTGTCAGCACTCACGTCAGCACCCCCAGAAATAGGAGGAAACTCAGAGGTGGGGGTTAACCTGATGACACTTTGAGCTCTCCAATCCTAGATCTAGTGCCGTGGGTGTTACACAAAGATGTATTTTTAAGAAGTGAAGCATTGTCAACTTTTAAATCGTTTTCTCTTACTAATGTATGGCCTCCCTGATAACAGGACTCTCTTGAGCAAAGAATACACTACGATACCTGATGTGAGTGGTGGAAAGCCAGAACCAAATCCCAGTCACTGCTCTGTCCCTTTCCTTCAGGAACTTGTAGCTAATGGAGTTGTGACCATAACTGAGTGTATTCCGTGCTACAAAGCCCTTTACAGGAGTTAGCCCAGAAACCTGGGCTTCAGGAGAGTAATGGAAAGTGAGGGACCGTGGCCAAATCCTTGGCCCTGCTTCAACTTCCATTTCTTCCTCTATAATACAAGAGGGCTAGACCAGAAATTCAGAGTTTCTTAAATTTTTTCCACTTGCGACTCCTTCAGACGCCATATGGAGTCACCCCACAGTTTAAGAAGCCCTTGGATAGAGAGAAGACCTCAAAGCTGGGAAGACCCGGGTTCAAGTTCTGCCATTACACATGCTGACTGTGTGCCTGGGAACAAATCACAACCTTTCCGGGCTCTAGGGTACAAATTGCCAAGGAAACCACAGGCTTGATCCCGCTCCCTATCCTCTCAAGCCTGCCGCTAGGTGGCGCTGCAGAGCACAGGACCTGGCTGTGTGGTCCTGGGCAAATCACTTTACCTTTGTTTCCTTCACTTTCCTCATCTGCAAAATGAGGATAATAATAATAACACTTCCTCCCCAGGGTCATTGTGAGGATCAAAATGAGAAAATCGTTGTAAAGTGCTTGGCACAGTTAGATGGGTGTAGACCCCATCTAGTGCTATAAAACTGTTAGCTATTTGATGATGCTGAGCAGATTTCCAAGTAGCCTTTGTTGATTTTTCTGTTATCTTAGATACTCAAGAGACTTGGTTATCGAAAACTTGTTCTACAGATTGGCAGAGGCAGAGTGGTACCGGACTCCTTCGCTTCGACGTCTTTTTCTTTGATTGTTTACAGGTACAAGAATTCCTTGAAAGAAGACATTAAGAGATCAGATCTTATCATTAGCCATGCAGGTATGGTCTCTTGGATTAAGAATCACATTGTGCAGAATTATACTAGAAATTCATCGCCCCTGATTGAGTTAGGCTTTTGATGAATAGCACTGACATAAAGAAGGGATTGGCAAACTGAGGAAGGTCCCTGAGAATGTTACTCATGTTTGTCCATTGCTAGAAGAGCAGTGAGTAGGACCCCAGCTCTCTAACAATGTAATTTTCCACATATGGAAGCAGGAACACAGGAAGCATGACACAACCTGGAGCGTCATGTGGCGAGGTGTTAAAATGTCAGTGTGTAAGGATTATTTTTTTTTTTAATTTTCTTTTTGGTTAGGCAGTGGGGTTAAGTGACTTGCCCAGGGTCAAGTGACTTGCCCAGGGTCACACAGCTAGTAAGTGTTACGTGTCTGAGGCCAAATTTGAACTCACGTCCTCCTGAAACCAGGGCTGGTGCTCTATCCACTGCGCCACCTAGCTGCCCCAGCGTGTAAGGATTATAAACAAAGAGGACTTGAGATCTGCTATATTAATAGAAGCTTCTAAGTTTAAATGCAAACTCTGCTTTTGAAACATGACACAAGCTTGAAAAATACATTTTGGAATTGATTTTATTGTGAACAGAATTCAGTCAATAATAGTCAACATGAAAGTTATCCAAGTTTATCTAGTCAGCTGGCTTTACAGTGAGGAAGGCTTGTGTTCAAGGATACGTCTGCCACTTTACTAGCTATGTGATCATAGATAGGTCATTTGATGTCTCAGGCAGTTTTAGATGTGTTGCTAATCTGCGTGAGTGGAGGAGATTTTCCACATCAGGAGTTCCCCAGGCTGCTTATATCAAGATGAAAAGTCAGCTCTGCCTTCTTCTCCCCCACCTTGGGAAATGAGTATATTATTCTGAAAATAGTCCTGTGGGGGCAGCTAGATATCACAGTGGGTAGAGCACCAGCCCTGGATTCAGGAAGACCTGAGTTCAAATCTGGCCAATGTCTAACATTTGACATTTACCAGCTGTGTGACCCTGAGCAAATCACTTCACCCAGTTACCTCAACAAAGTAAAAAAAAAAAATAGTCCTTTGAGTAATGTTGTAAATGTGACAACTGGTGGATAGGGTAGGGGAATAGGTTTTCTTCTTTCATCAGGTGCCTTTTTTTTCTGCGCTTTTAAGGGGGGAAATTTATCTGAATGGAGATTGGTAACAGAAGTCAAGGATTTATTTTACAAATGAATGATAACCTATGTGACCCAGCTCTTGACAGAGGGGATGGACTCAAGATGTAAAATGAGACATATGTTTTTGGATATGGAACTTTGGTTTTCTTTATTATGCATATTTGTTACAAGACTTTTCTTTTTCTTTATTTCTTTTACACTGGGGGTGAGGTGGAAAGGAGAGAAGATAAATGCTTGTTAATTAAAAAAGAAAAGAAAAATTTTAAAATGTCTGCAGAGTTCCCCTCCCAACCCCTCATCCCCTGTGCAAAGAGTGATTTCTAAAGTAAGGGAGTGTCCAGTTTGACAATTGGAGTTATTCCTCATCTCGTGTCCACATCTCATGTCCATGAAGGTCTGTGCTGCTGTCAGGCACTGTGTTTTGGAGAGTACCTCTCTCCAAAAAAGTGGACAAATGGAGGAGCAGCTGCCCTGGGTCTGGGCTCCTCATGCCTCCCCTCTTCTCTGTCTTCCTGGGGGACTTGACCATTGTCGACCCAACAAAGAGTCAATCCCCAGAGAGAGGCTGTTGAGAGGGAGGCTGTTGACGGTTTTCTTGTTTGTTTGTTTTTCTCCCCCATCTCCATGAGATGAATGTGTAGGACTAGTATTTTTTCCGCTCTTTTGCTACAAGACAGGTGGAGAAGAAGCTGAACAAACCACATTGTTTGGAGTTTGGATTTCTCTTTCTAGGTGCAGGGAGCTGCTTGGAGGCCCTGGAAGAAGGGAAGCCCTTGGTGGTGGTCATAAACGACAAGCTGATGGACAATCACCAGTTAGAGCTGGCCAGACAGCTGCACAAAGAAGGGCATCTTTTCTATTGCACATGCAGGTAGGCGGCAGACTGGCCCTGACTCTTTGGAGGCCTGTGCTCATCTGGCTGCCCCCTGCTGCCCCCCCCTCCTCTGATTCATTGAGCTCTTCCTTTCCCTCCTGCCCAAAGACCTATCAAACCCCCCAAAACCCTATACCGTTGACATACTTCAAAGTAGCAGCTAGGTGGGAGCACAGGTGGGCCTGGAGGCAAGAAGACTTGAGTTCAAATGCAGCCTCAGACATTGACTAGCTGGGTGACCTTGGGCAAGTCACTGAATGTCTGCCTGCTTTGGTTTCCTCAACTGTAAAATGTGGGATCCTAAGAGCACCTACCTCTCATGGTTGTTGTAAGGAGCAAATGAGAGAAACTGTAAAGTGCTTAGCACAGTGTCTGGCACACAGCAGGTGCCGTATAAATGGGCCCTTTTTTCATTGTTATTGGTGCTTTGGGCATATGTCTCTGTGGATTGGGAGATGTGTGGCTCTTCAGAAAGACAGGGGTTTTTGCCCTCCATAAGCCCTCTGGGGCCCCTGAGTAAATGCTAATGTGTTTCATTGCAACAGGTGTGTTAGAATTTTGGGCTGGCTCCTATGATCACAGTAAGAGTGCATGCTGTGTGAGCAGGAGAATGAAGACAGCAGCTGTCACCTGTGTTGTGTTTGGGTGTCTTGGCTCCTGCCGCTCATGACAGCCCAGGGAGCTAAGTTCTCCATTGTATAGATGAGGATGCTGAGGCTGGCTGTGGACCCGGGCCTCTGGATGCCAAGTCCCTTCCTCTGGTGTTTGTGGCCCTTAGTCTGTAGTGAGGCTTCATGACAGAAGCCTAAACAAGCCTTGATTCCAGGGTTTCCTGCTAGAAAGTGATGAAAGCTATGAAGTAGTAATCCCCAGCTTATTTTCCTATCTTCCTTGAGTTCAGCACTGGACTTAGCACCGTCTTGTTCTGTCCCGCCTGTCTCTTAGGAAACACATATTATATCCCCATAGATGTTCCCTCAAACTTCCTAAACCCCCAGTTCCTCAGCTTCCTTCAGACTTATGGTCTGCTTCTTCTCTCCACCTCAGCCACACATAGGAATGGTCACCTGCTGGGTCTCCCCATTACCCACAAATTCCCGTCTCTGTCCAGAATTTTTTTTTTTGGTGAGGCAATTGGGGTTAAGTGACTTGCCCAGGGTCACGCAGCTAGTGAGTGCTATGTATCTGAGGCCGGATTTGAACTCAGGTCCTGCTGACTGCAAGGCCGGAGCTCTATCCACTGCACCACCTAGCTGCCCCAGAACTTTCTGTTTTTCCTGTGCGTCACCCCAAGTACTTTCTTGGGCCAGTTACCCCTGCTCTGACTTCAATTTCCTCTCTGTCCAGTCTCAGCCCACTCCCTAGCAAATTCAAATCTATGCTGTCCTCTATTCTTGAATCCTTTGCCCTTCTGTCCTATCACGGGTCTTCTGTTGCCAAACCCAATCTTTGGAATATTCCCATCATCCACAGGACAAGTGGCTGAAGGCAGCTAGAGGATGTCTCACAATCATGCCAGCTGGGTTTGTTTCAGATTCAATTATTTAACCTCAACTGGGCCTTTGCTTCGGAAAGTCAGGTCTTTGATTCCTGGCTGATTCTCTCTCTCCTCCCAGAATTTCTTCTAGAGCTTTGCTTCTCACACTTCCTCTTTCCCTTCTATTTTCCGCTGAGAATTTGGCCTCTTACTTTACTGAGAAATTTGAGGCTGTTTGCCACGAGCTCTATCTTTTCCCCTTCTCTCCAATTCGAGTCTCCTGGGAGCTACTCTGTAATCTCTCCTCCTTTCTCTATATGGACCCTTCATCCCGAACCCTCCCTCTTCTCCAACAGATTGCACCCTCAATTATCCTCCTATCTCTCTATCACTCTCCTACCATTCTCCAAGCCTTCCTGCCTTTAACCATGTACAAGCCTGTCCCATCCTTCAGAGCCTTTCCTAGGCCTTCCATTTTGTCCAATACCTCTGCTCCCTTTCTCAGCCAAACTATTGGAAAATGCTGTCTGCATTCACTGCCTCCACTTCCTGTCCTCCAACTTACTCCTCAGCCCTTTATAATCTGGCTTCCAACCTCATTCCTAGACTGAAACTTCTTTCCAAAGTCATTGGCGATCTCTTCATTGCCAGACGTGATGGTCTTTTTTTGACCTCTCGGCAGCCTTTGCCGGCATTGTCTGCCCTCTTCTTCTGCCTTTTTGTGATGCTATTCCTGCAGGTTCTTCCTTTCTTTCCATCTGTGTATTCTCATCTCCTTTGCTGTTTCATCATCCATATCACCCCCCCCCCCGCCCAACAGTGGGGATTTCCCAAAATTCGGGCCTAGGCCCTCTTGTCTTCATCAGTTCTCTACAAAGCGTCCCCAAAGCCACACTCACACTGTGGGGACCCGCCGTACACGTCTCTTCAGCCCCAGTCTCTCCCTTGAGCTTTGGTCCCACATTACTAGTTGTCTGTTTAACATCTAGATATCTCTTTCAATTCAGTATGTCCAAAATGGAATTTATTTTCTTTCCTCCTAAACCATTTTCCAAACTATGCAATTTCTGTCAAGGGCACTACCATCCTTCTCGTCCCCTGGCTTTGTAACGTTGGCATTTTTGTGCCCTTTCTACCTTCCTAACATCTCTCCCGCCCAAACCCTTCTCTCCACCCACACAGCTATCACCTCTCGCCCAGATTATTGCAACAGCCTCCTAGTGAAGCCCACTGCCTCAAGTCTGTCCCCATGCCAGTCCTTCCTGCACACTACCACAGGCAAAGGAATATTCCAGAAGCACAGATCTGAGCATGTGACTGCTCTGCTCACTCAGCTTCTTATTGCCTCTAGGATGAAAACCAAACTCCCCCTCCTATGCTTTGTAATACTCAACAAACATGCAACACTCAGTCTCCCATTTCTGTGCCTTGACACTGGCCATCGTGTGAGCTAGAAATGGCCTCCCTCCTTACAGGCTCCTCACAGAGGCCCTGAACTTCTTCAGGATAGAGTTTAAGCTCCATTTTCTACATAAATCCTTTCCTGATCCCCCTAACCTCTAGTGCCCTTTCTTCCATATGACTTTTTTTTTAACTACTTACAAATGGGGATTTGTTTAATGTATCAAAAAATCCAAATATATACTTTTCATATATGTGTATTCGTTTAGCACAGTGCATGGCAAATAGCAGGTGTTTAATCTATGTTTGTCATTACGATATATACGTTATTATATATACCAGCTGTGTCCACTATGAGCATGTAAATTCTTTGTTAAGCCCTTGGACTGATGTCCATAGTACCTATCACTGTGCCTTATGAGGAGCCAGCACTGACTGATGAGGAAATCAGCTGGTTTCTGGAGAGCGAGGTCACTTCCCACCTGCTTTGAAGAGTTATTCTTACATGATTTAATTTTTTTCTGATAAACAATCCCTGAAAATATATGTAAAATATGTTTCTTGTGATGTCAATAGTTGGCAGTTCCGTGGTTCTGTTATTGTGGGTTCTCTCTGGATAGACCAGGATTACACTCCCTCTGACTTAGAAGAGGGTCTTCAGGAGTTCCCTTAGCCCACCTAAGGATGGGTCTGCATTTCTTTTCTGAACATTTTCTCATACAACCTCGGTACTCCCCTTTGGCAGGCCTGTACTCAAAGCCCTTCTTCCTTGGTAGTTTAAGTATTATCAAAGACAGTACATTCCAATCACTTAAATTTTAGGAGATTTCATGAACCCCTTAAAAAAATTGCCTTGAAAAAGAAGACAGCCCAAGGTGTCGCCAAACCCAGGGGAGTCACTGGATTGGAAGCTCTTTAGACTTCTCTCTTCCTAAGTTTGGGGGATCGGGGGAGGGGAGAAGGGCGGAGGTACAGAGAGCTGGAGGCAGAGCTCACTGCTCCAGTTGGCAGGGGGCAGGGCCCTCAGTGTCTGCTTGTCGACAGATTGAGGATCAAGTCTCTTGCAGAGACCGTCAGTTAGTCCTCGTTGATGGAGTGGGCCAGGAGAGATGGCAGCTTTGCCAGGCTGAGTGAAACAGAAGAGGAGGCAGGAGGAGGGCCTGGCAGGTCACTTGGTTGGCTAATCCTTGCATAGGAATGGAGTGTGCTTTATAGATTAAGGGTAAACCCAGGCTGACATGATTCTATAAGAGGAAATTAACTGTCACCTTGCTAACTGATTTATGCAAGTCCACTTTGGCTTATGGGAAATTCAGCTGCTTTGGGCTTGACTCTTTGTCATCCAAATGCTAACCCAAGGATTGCACCTCAGAGCCAGAAAAGGCTTTTGCCAGCAGGCTGGGGTTTGGAGAAAGTGAACTGACTTTCCTGATTTACAGAAGCAGTCTATGCACAGGGTTGAGTCCATGTCGACTGGCAGCCGGCTCCAAGTTTCCCCAGTCCTTTCCAACTTCTTCCAGTGTCATCTGACTGAAATAAAAGCCAGCAGCCCTCCTTGTATTTTCTTGCCTAGAGGCTGATGTATTTTAGGCATGGACAACAGGCATCTGTGTCTCTCCTAATGTATGTGCCTCAGCTACATTCCTCCAAGTGTTTGCTTGGTGGTGTTGCTTAGGACGATCCTGGAATATCACACTCGTGGCAACTGGAATCCAGACGTGCGAGCATTTTTATTTATTTTAGTTATTTATTTTTTTAAATAATATTTTCTTTTTTCCCTGAGTTACCATGTGAACATTTTTAAAAAATGGTTCTAGCCAAAGGTCACCATTGAACCTCAATGAAACTCATTAAATTTGCTCAGCAGCTACCTGAACTAATTATTTCCACGCATAGACTGTCACCCCCTTGTCCTGGTCTCCATCCTCACTTGGTCTGTTTGTTCCATTCAAGTGGTCCTAGTTAGGGTGGGATCTGTTTTTCGAAGTCTGACTGTTTTTTCACTTTGCATTTTTTCAGAAAAGTCTTTCCAGGTTTGCTTCTCTTTATACATGGTTATCTTTGTTGCCATCCTCACCCTTTCCCACCTGTTGGCCATTGAGGGTTGAACTTCCCAGTTGTTTATAGTTATGAATACCATGTTAAGATTTTGATGTTACAGATAAAGAATAGAATTTCTCAGGATAGAAAGAAAGTGGGATGAGAATCCTAAAACTATGTTCAAGGCTAAGAAAAAGAGTAAGACAAACCTAAGAAAATACAGGCAAGGCATAGTTGTTCAGCAGCCTGGTCCCATGCGCCCCTGTCCCCCCAAATCCAGTTCTCCTCATGTCGTCTGGCCGTGTCATTTGGTTTTATTTACTGCCTTTCCACCAATTTAACTTTTGACCATCTCAGTTTTTACCTGCTGTTTCCCGAGGGTAATTCATTCCAAAGCCATCTGAGTACAGTGTCCTGAGGTAGCATTGACCAAGCCTCATCTTTAACCAAAGCAGCTCAGTGGAGGGAAGTGAGAAAGGATGCGTTGGATTGACACAGAGGGGCTAGAGAAATAACGGTTTTGTTTTGGATGTGAAACCAGACCTTCTCTAGTGGGCGCTTCCACTGTATGGAAGCAGAAACCCATGGTGAAATCTGTTGTACAATTTGAAAAACGCCAGGACTGTTGGTGAGAGTTTGGTGTTGCCACGGAATGGGCAGCAACTGCACTGTTGGGTGGCTCCTGTAACCTAATGCTTTGCTCTCTCTTTTTGTTTCAGCACCCTTCTTGAGCTGTTAAAATCAGAGGATTTATCATCATTGAAACGTTTTCCTCCTGGCAAGCCAGAGATATTCTCTGAATTTTTGGATCAAGTTGTGGGATTGAAAAAATTAATGCCAACCTCTCAGTCTCAATCTTTTTGACCCATCCATGGGAAAACACATAGATAGACACATAGCCAAGCCTTCCTGGACAATGCACTCCTGGCTTTAGTGTATTTTTGCAGTATGACGTGTCCTTAATAAATTTTCTGCATCTAAAGGCTGCATTTGAAGTTTCTAGTGTGAGCATTTGTAAATGTTCGCTCAGATTATTCTAGCTAGTATTGTCTTTTAGCAAGTGCGTCCCATCAGCACACTCATGGTAGCCAGAGGGGCACAGGGTGTGTCCATGGGGAGATTTTTAATGCCTTTTGGCTTTTGAGAAACAGTCTGTGGAGCTTGACGGTTGGTGCCCCCAGCAATGTCCAAGGAAGAGAAAGCCAAAAAAGTTCTAAAGGTGCTCCACTGGAAACAATGAATGAACATGGGTGCTCATTCACCTAGTTTGATTCACGACCTCCCAACTTCCTCCATTTTACTGCGAGCTTCTGTCTCTCACGTAAGCCTCTGACAGACCTTTATTAAGGCCAGCTATGTGCCGGGCACTGTTCTTCACACGGGGAATACAAAGACAAAAAATGACCTAGGCCCTGCCCACAAAGGGCTTACCTTCTACTGGGTGTGTAGAGTTGGGAAGGGGTACAGCATCTACATGGGTAAGTATCATGTAAGGCAGAGAGTAATGGGGCCCCTGGGGCGGAGCAGAGGGCTCTAGGAACATCTGAGGAGGTAGGTCACACTTTCAGCTGGGGGAATGAGGGAAGGCACCAGGAGGTGTGAAACCTGAGCCGAGCCAAGCCTTGAAGGGAGAGGAGGAATCTGACAGGCAGGGCTATAGAGGGAGTGCATTCCAGGCATGGCACAGGGCATGCTGAGGAGCAAATGTAGCAGGAGCAGATCAAATTGCCTGGAGGCACTGTGAGCCCTAGAAGGGTTTCAAAGATGAGCTTCCTCCATTTAGTACTGTAAGCCTTGGCTGAAGCAGAGAGAAAACAGAAAAAATCAGGCTGGTGGGATTGAGTGCCCCACGCAAATTCTGATGTTGGGGAAGCCATTCACAGTAGTGTCTTCATTGAAATCAGCTGCCTCCCCAGCTCTCCTAGAGAAAGTGGAAACTGACCTTACAGCCCTTTCCTCCAGATAGATTTATATATAGAGATGGGGAAACATGCCTGCCTAATCTCTACAAGCATGGGGGGCTTAGGGAGGGCTGGAATTCAGTCAAGTCCCCATTCCATACACTTATGGTGAGCACTAGTAGATCAGATCATCTACGTTTTAAAACATTTTCCTGGCAGCCTACCTAGTATTCCATGGCTGATTAACTTTCCCTGTTAGGGGCCCATGGTGAACTCCATTGGCCTTAGGGAGTTCTACACTGCTGGTAGAATGTGGTAGCTCAGAAAACTCGTGGGTTTCAGGGGGAAACCAAGCAAAAGATGTGCCATGAGATCCATTTACCCTAAGGAAGAACAGATGGTACTACAATTCTGTATGTATTTTATGCCCCTGTTTCAGGAAAATGGAAAGAATCAGTGATTCTGGGCCCTCTGAATCCAGGCATTTTCCACTACAGAAAGATGGTGGCATGGAACTCAGGTGGGATGTTCAAATTGTCACAGCTCTTTGATGTGATCTTACGAGATTGTAAGACAGTAAGTGTTTTCCTGATTTCCCCAAAAGGGAAGAGAACAGAGTCTGTATATCAGAGGCCAATGAACTTGACTTATATCCCTGACAAGAATGAAACACAGATTATTAAAGAGCTGTTTGATGAACTTCTGGATAGCAAAGCAGCAATTATAACTCATGAATCTGTCTGTTAAAAGGTTAGCACCTCTATTATACTGTGAGCTCCTCCATTATCCTGTGAGCCCTTCCATTTTACTGAGCCCCTCCATTATACGGTGAGCCCCTCTGTTATATGGTGAGCCCCTCCATTTTGCTGTGAGCCCTTCCATTATACTGTGAGCCCCTCTATTATATGGTGAGCCCCTCCATTATACTGTGAGCCCCTCCATTTTACTGAGCCCCTCCATTATACTGTGACCCCTTCTATTGTATGGTGAGCCCCTCTATTGTACGGTGAGCCCCTCCATTTTACTGAGCCCCTCCATTATACTGTGACCCCCTCTATTGTATGGTGAGCCCCTCTATTGTACGGTGAGCCCCTCCATTTTATTCTGAGCCCTTCCATTTTGCTCTGAGCCCCTCCATTATACGGTGAGCGCCTCCATTTTACTGTAAGCCCTTCCATTATACAGTGAGCCCCTCCATTTTACTGAGCCCCTCTATTATACTGTGAGCCCCTCTATTATTATTTTTATTTTTATTTTTAAATTTTTTTAAAATTTTTTAAATATAAATTTATTTATTTCTAGCTTTCAACATTCACTCCCGCAAGTTTTTGAATTCCAAATTTATACCCCATCTCCCCCCTTCTCCCACCCCAATATGGCATGCATTCTGAATATCCCTTCCCCTAGTCTGTCCTCTGTTCTTTATCTCTCCCCTTCTCTTATCCCCTTCCCCTTCTATTTTCCTGTAGGGCAGGATAAACTTCTGTACCCCATTTCCTGTATTTCTTATTTCCCAGTAGCATGTGAAAGCATTTTTTAAAAACATATGTTTTTAAAACTTTAGGTTTCAAATTTTCTCTCTTCCTCCCTCCCCACCCACCCTCATTGAAAAGGCAAGCAACTCAATATAGGTTGTACATGTGCAGTTATGCAAAACACTTCCATAGTAGACATGTTGTGAAAAACTAACTCTTTCCCTTAATCCTATTGTGCCCTCCCATTTATTCTATTCTTTCTTTTGACCCTGTCCCTCCTTGGAAGTATTTACTTCTGATTACTCCGTTTCCCAATCTGCCCTCCTCTCTATCATCCCCCTGCTCTCTTGTCCCCTTCTCCCCCTATTTTCCTATAGGGTAAGACAGATTTCCATACCCAATTGAATGTGTTTGTTATTCCCTCCATAAGCCAAATCCTATGAGAATAAGATTCACTCATTCTCTCACCTTCCCCGTTTCCCTCCACTGTAAGAGACTTTTCTGGTTTTTTTTTTTGTGAGATAGTTTACCCCATTCTACCTCTCCCTTTCTTCTTCTCCGAGTATAGTCCTCTCTCATCCTTTAATTTTATTCTCCAGATATGACCCCTTAATCTTCAGCTCACCCTGTGCCCTCTATCTATCTATCTATCTATCTATCTACATATACATACATATAATTTTTTCCTCCAACTACCCTAATACTGACAAAGGTCTCATGAGTTATAAATATCATCTTTCCATGCAGGAATGTAAACAGTTCAATCTTAATAAGTCTCTTATGATTTCTCTTTCCTGTTTACCTCTTCATGTTCCACTGGAGTCCTGTATTTGAAAGTCAAATTTTCTATTCAGCTCTGGTCTTTTCATCAAGAATGCTTGAAAGTCCTCTATTTCACTGAATGACCATTTTTTCCCCTGAAGGATTATACTCAGTTTTGCTGGGTAGGTGATTCTTGGTTGTAATCCTATCTCCTTTGCCCTCCAGAATATTCCATGCCCTGCGGTCCTTTAATGTAGAAGCTGCTAAATCTTGTGTTATCCTGATTGTGTTTCCACAGTACTTGAACTGTTTCCTTCTGGCAGCTTGTAATATTTTCTCCTTGACCTGGGAACTCTGGAATTTGGCTATAATATTCCTAGGAGTTTTCCTTTGGGGATCTCTTTCAGGAGGAGATCTGTGGATTCTTTCAATTTCTATTTTGCCCTCTGGTTCTAATATATCAGGGCAGTTTTCCTTGATAATTTCTTGAAAGATGATGTCTAGGCCTTTTTTTGATCATGGCTTTCAGATAGTCCAATAATTTTTAAATTCTCTCTCCTGGATCTATTTTCCAGGTCAGTTGTTTTTCCAATGAGATATTTCACATTGTTTTCTAATTTTTCATTCTTTTGGATTTGTTCTACTGTATCGTGATTTCTCATAAAGTCACTATCTTCCAATTGCTCTATTCTAATTTTTAAGGAAGTATTTTCTTCAGTAAGCTTTTGGACTTCCTTTTCCATTTGGCCAATTTTGCTTTTAGGGCATTCTTCTCCTCATTGGCTTTTTGGACCTCTTTTGCCATTTGGGTTAGGCTATTTTTTAAGGTGTTATTTTCTTCAGTATTTTTTTGGGTCTCCTTTAGCAAGCTGTTGACTTGTTTTTCATGATTTTCTTGCATCACTCTCATTTCTCTTCCCAGTTTTTCCTCTACTTCCCTTACTTGCTTCTCAAAATCCCTTTTGAGCTCTTCCAAGGCCTGGGACTGATTCATATTTTTCTTGGAGGCTTTGGATGTAGGAGCTTTGACTTTGTTGTCTTCTTCTGGTTGTATATTTTGATCTGCTTTTTCACCCAAGTAAGATAATATAGTCTGACTCTTTTTTCTCTGCTTGCTCATGATGCCGGCCAATTACTTGAGTTTTAAACTCTTTGTTAAGGTAAGAGTCTGCTTCCAGTGTGGAGAGTGTACTGTCCCAAGCTTCAGGGGTTTGTGTAGCTGTTTTCAGAGATACTTGTAGGGCCCTGTAAATTTTCAGTTCTTCCAAGGTGGTATGATAAGGGGCGAGGTGTTTACTCCTTTCCCGGCCTGTGACCACAGGTATTCCTTTCTGTCCTGTAACTGTGAGGAGGGGTTCCTCTCCACAGCCACTACAAGCTCCACCACACCAGCGTTCCTCCTCACCCCAGCACTGCCACCCAGAACTGTGACCCAGATCCAAACACGGGCAAAGCAAGAGATTCCTGCCTCAGCACTGGCAAAGAGATCCCTGCAATTCCTCTCTGATCAGCCACTGGATTCCCCCTCAGTCTGTGGGCTGGAAGCTCAGGAAGCAGCTGCCCCCCACCCAGGGCCACGCTCTTGGGGAATGGAGCTGAGACCCCACCTTCCTCTCTCAGAATCTACAGAAACAGACTTTTCCCACTGACCTTCTAAGTTGTCTTTGGCATTCGTGGATTGAGGAGTCTGGAAACCTCCACAGCTGTGAGCCACTTCA